GCAGCAAGGGGCTGCCAGCGCCGCTTCGCATCGAGGGGCGGGGGTGGGGTGGGGTGCGTGTGTGTCACGCATCGGGCCCGCAGCACACCCGCATTGCATGCGCCGGACCCCCGCGGCATGCACCGGACACACGTCACGCCCACCAGACCCGCAACGCATGCACCGGACCTGCATTGCATGCACCAGACCCCCACGGCGTGCACCAGACCCCTGTCACACCCGCCAGACCCCATATCGCGTGCATCCAGACCCACATCGCGCACACCGGTCCTGCAGCACAAGCGCCGGACCCATAGTGCGTGCATTAGACCCACACAGCGCGCGTCGGACACACATCACACTCGCCAGACCTGCAGCGCACTCGCTGGACCCTCCCTGCATGCACCGGACCCTCCCTGCATGCACCAGACCCTCCCTGCATGCACCAGACCCACATCTGCTCATACAGCATCCAAACGTGTCTCCTGGCACCATGGGGCGTTGCAGGAGCCGGAGCGTCTGTGCAATCGAGATTTTATTATTTAATGGCTTAATGCTCCGTCTCCGAAGGGATACAGAAAATACACGAGCTGATTGATGAGCCGGGTGCTCTTTTTTCTCTCCTCCCAGCAAGGTCAGTGCTGCCTGCTTGTCGCACAGAGACCCACTGCTGTGCATTTGTTGTGCTTATAAAATACTGGCGTTCCCACCCTCCCTAGGCAATGGGTGCCTTGTGCCGTGGCCTTGTGCCAGGAGGTACAAATCCTGATTTCCAGGGCTGCAGAGGTCCCTGGCCGGGGGGGGGGGGGGTCAGGAGGGGGCAATGCCTGTGCTCGCACCTCGGCAGCATTGCAGCGGGCTGAGACGGGAGATTTGGCATGTTGTTAAAGTAGGCCATTCCAGCGGTGCGGAGACCCAGGGCTAATCCTCTGTGACCATCGTCTTTCCCAGCCCTCGTTCAAGGTGGATGATGGTTAGGGGAAACCTGCTTCCGCCGCGCCGGGACCGCACGGGGGTGCGGAGGGGAGGAGCAGCTGTTGCGCTGGAAGCTGGATTTGTCTTCCATGTTTTTGCTTTCGTATCCTGAAGGAGCGGGCTCTTCCTTCTGCTTACTGGTCCTCAGCTCGGCTCCCCAGCAGAGCACCCGCACAGGATGGGCCGTGCGGTGTGATATTACGTGCATCCCCAACCTGCCAACCTTCCCAGCCTTGGTACGACCGTAGGGTCTGCATCCCAGGTATCCTGCTCCTACTCTCATGGCAATAGCTGCTGCTACAGCATTTGTCACAGAGCTCTTTCCCTTTTCCCGTTGCCTTCAGAGGCCCCAGCAAGAGACCAGCCTGTTCCCTCTGGTCAGGCACCTTATTTTTAGCTAATGAGGGCCAGGAATTGCCACCTCCCCGTTTGGCACTGCAGCCAGGTCAGCTGGAAAAGTGATGAGCTGCATAACCCAATCTTTTCGAATGGTCTCTATTTTCCTGTAATCTCTGGGTGTCAACTCAGCATTTTATAACAAACAAGAGAATAAAAGGAGATGCTCCTGTGTTTCATTATGTGATACGACAACTCTTAGCAAAATTGATTTTTCTGGTGGTGTTGCATAAACATCCTGTGCGTTTTGTGCCTGCTCTTGCCCCGAGCACTCTGCTCTGGCGTGAACTGGAGCATCTCCCTCTGTCCGGGACCCAGGTGAAGCTCTGCTTGCTTTGGGATGAGCCCGTCTCTGCCGGAGCAGGGAGCAGAGTTTCCCAGCCCCTGGAGATATCGCTGCTCCCTTGGAAACTCCAGAGCAAGAGCAAAGCAGCCCCTGTCTCCCAAACAAATCCCCCGTGGCAGAAGGAGGAGCGCAGACATGGTCACCGCTGTGCACCAAGCAGCCGGTGTTTGCCTCCAGCAGCTCAGATGGTACCTGCGGCGCCCGCGGCGCACACATGGTCACCGCTGTGCACCAAGCAGCCGGTGTTTGCCTCCAGCAGCTCAGATGGTACCCGGCGCCCGCGGGCGCTGACCCCCTCCTTTGCTGGACTTCTGCCGGCCTCGGCCCCGGCTGCTGCTCCTTCCCACCACCACCCAACTGCATCCCAGTCCTTTTCCAAACAGAAACTGATCCTGGCATTGCCGCTGTTTCGGGGACGCAGCGCTCTGTCCCAAATCAGGTTGCTGGTTGTTTGCCGTGTTCAGCGCTTTGCTTATTTTTAGCGTGAAGGAAAAGCAGAGCCCGTGTCAGAAAGGCAGGGAGATCTCCTCGGGAGCCCTTTTTGTTCACCGGAAAAACGAAGCTGTGATTTCCCTCCCCCCGTTGTGCTCTGCTTTTAATCTTGTTAGCACTGGAAGGCTGAAAATATGGGGAGGGACCCGTAGGGAAGGCGCCCGCCAGCATGTGCCGGGCACGGTTCTTCTCCCAAGGTTTCTGCAGAATCAGTAAAGCTGCTCTTAGAGGCTTGGGCTTGGTGCCACCGTTACAAAATGCTCCTAACACAGGATGCATCAAGTAAAACAAGGGAATCCAGCAGCGGGCAGGGTGATGGGAACCCTGGCAAAAGAAGCAGTGAGCGAGAAATTTGGGGAAATGTAGCGGCTTCTGGGCCCGGGCGGCTGGGGCTGACAAACGAGCCCGCCTGCTCTTGCACCTCCTCTGCGTGTTCCCTGCAGAGACGGGATGAGCTGGTGGGGCAGCTCGGGCCAGCACAGCAGACGGTTCCTTCTGAACCCTGCAGAAGTCGAGCAAAGAGAGACGCCTCGGAAGCGAGAGCCTGTGGTGACAAAACCTCCGGAGGAACGGGCTGAGGACTCATCAGAGGCTTCACCGAGCCGATGGCGAGGGTCTCTCCAGGGGTCCCCTGGCCCCTTTTCCCATGCAGGAAGCTTCTAGGAGGAGCCCAGCCCTGTCTGTCCATCGCTGGCACGGCCCGGGGATCCAGCATGGCGTGGGGAAGCGGCGGCATTCAAGCCAAAGAGGCATCTCTGTGGGGCAGCAATCCCAAAATGATGGCTGAGCTGCAATTCTTGGGGAAATCCTCCCCTGGGGCGCTGGGCTGAGCCTCAGGGTGCTCTACTGGTACTGTCACCGCTCTGCCACTGCTCTGCCACCCGTCTGGCTTTGCATCGCCATCATGGTGTGATCTGTGGGGCGGCAGTGCCCCAGATCCCCTCTGCGGCCGGCGGGAGCTGGGGACCCACCGGGGGATGCAGCTTGGGAGCACCCGGAGCCCCATGGTATAAGCCACCCGGGGTGGTGGCAGCCTCGGGGGCTCTCAGCCCCGGGGGACATGCCGAGGCTGAGCAACCTGTGCTGGCGGCGACGGGACACGTGCCGTGCCTGGGGGTACCCGACACCGTTACTGGTGCGGGCGTGGGGAGCGGTGGCTGCCTGAGCCCTGCCTGGGGCTGAGCGCCGCTGACCGCAGCGGGCACGGAAAGGGCTCGGGGAGCAGTTACGGCACAATGTGCTGGTGAGGTGGGTCTCCAATCCCGGAGGAGAGAGGCTCTTGTGCCCGGTTGTACTCCATCCCACCCTGCGTGGGGTATCAGCTTTTCGTGCTGTTAACTCCGGCTGTTTTCTTATCGAGGACCATTGCTTTTATTTAGCGTGAATTCCCCAGGCTAATTCTGTTGCACAGAATAAGCGCTATTTTGCGCTGTTGTTTTTAAAAGAGCTGCCTTTTTGTTCCACTATGGGCCGGGAGATTCGCAGGGAGTTTTGCTGTCGGTGGCTCCAGGAGAGAGCGTTAGACCTTGCAACGGGCAGCGTTCATCCTGCCCGTCCCCCGAGCTGCATTTTGGGGTGGTTTGCAAGATGCTGAAACACGTATAGCTGGTTTGCAGCATGATCTCTGGATCTGGTGTAAGTTGGAGTGTCGGACCCTGCATCCCCAGGGAGCGAGAGCGGCCGCAGAGGTGCTGCACTGAGCAGGGGCCTGCTGGTCCCCCCAGCACAGGGACGAGCCGGCACTCCCCGAATCACCCTAACCTCGCTGCCGGTGCCTGTGCACTCGCACTGGTGGTGGCTGTTAAAAATCTCTGTATAATTGCAAGCCTGGGCTGCGCTATGGAGCCGGGGACTGCGCGTCTCGCTGGGGTGAGGGTGCGGAGATGAACTCTTTGGCTGTGGGGATCAGCATTTGCAGTTTGTGTCGCTGGGCTCAGCGCCTGTTTCTGATGCCGGGTTATTGCTGCTCAGGGTCTCTCTGGAGTCTGTGCTGCGGCCGTGTCCCCTCTCCTGGGGCACAAGCTGTTTTCATCAGCTCCGTAAGGATCAACCCACAAGGAAGGGATTCTCCCGCGTTTCTTCTCTGTCCTGCAAGACGTTCCCCATATTCCTCGTTCTACAAAGATGAAAATAAGGTGGAGGAGATCCCTTCCCCACCCCGTCTCTCAGCTGGCACACGAGACCTGGCTTTGTCTCATCCACCCTTTGCATGACTTGGGATTTGCAGGCCGGGAGTCGCTGGCAGTGGCACGTCGTCCTCCAGGCCTGTGGGTTTCCTCTCCCGCTGCCGAGGCTCCCGATGTTCATTTTTGGGGTTTTTGTCCCCGTGCTGAGCGGGAGCTGCCTTCCCCGCGCGGGGCCGGCCGTGGGCAGCTCTGCTGGCCCCGTCCCTGATGCTTCTGACATGGAGCAATGAGCCTGCCCGCCCTCTGCCCCGGCTTGGGTCGCTTTCCACCCCCATGTTTTTATGAGATTTCTTCTCTTCTGCTTGCCCTTGCAGCTTTGCTGTGACTTCTGCCCCATCTATTAGACGGCTTTTAGATTTTAGTAACCTGCTCTTGGTTACTCCCCTGTCTTTCCTGGCCCTCGCGGCTGCCATCGTCTTCCTTGCTGGAGAGCGTGCAGTGTGCTCGGGGAGGCGGTTATTCATCTTTGAACGCTTTTCATTTCCTCTCGGTGTGTTTTTCTTAATGCCTAATCAATGAGCAGCCGCGGCAGCGAGACGGAACCACCAGAAGGGCCAGGCGTTGCAGGGAGGTGGGGGCCGGGCTGGCGCGGGTCCCACGGGAGGGCAGGGGCATCCCCTCTGCGGGAGCGGACCCCTCTGCAAATCACCGGAAAAGCAGAGGTCTTCACTGCTTCTCCCTTTCTTGCATTTCAAATGTGATAAGATAGTCTTGAATTTCCTCTTGCTTTCATGGCGAGGCTCCCTTCGCAGTGCAGCTGCCCAGCCCGGTCCATGCGATAGTGGTAATTCTGAGTGCAAATAATTCCCTCTGCCTTTAGACGCAAAGTAGCCACGTGCCATGTGGGAGGGTGTTTTCAGCTTTGGTGCTAAGTCTGCCCATCCTGCCCGTCCTTGGCAGCCCGTGGGCACGGTGAGGCTTTTGGGGAGACTGAAATGGCCCATTGATTCTCTGGGAATAAAGGCAGTGACAATTTATTACCAGTGATTAAATTCAAGCTTGCTTGTTCAAGCCGCCCTGGGGCAGCCTGGCGAGGCAGAGCCGGTACCCGGCCGGGAGGGGATGCACAGCCCATCATGTTCGTGAGACAGGGGCCCAGGCAGGGTGCAGGATGGTGCTCCCCCCCTCCACGGGATTTCGGTGCCCACTGGTAGACCTCGGCCGGGCTCCCTGTGGCAGCAGCACGGGGCTGCTCCGAGTTTCTCACCCCTTAAACCTGCTGGCGCCGCGAGAGGCATCGAGCCTTGGTGTGGGCACCAGCCAAGTCTGCAGCAGTGGGAGGAGGAGGAGGAGGAACTGAGCTCGCCAGGCACAAGGCTGAATCCAGGCTTCCCCACAGAGCCGTTCCTGGCTGCGAATGCTGGGGCAGGCGCCTGGGGTGCAGCGTGGGGTGCTCGCAGGAGCCCCCGGCACGGTACCAGCCCGTGTGCTGGACACACACATGCCGTCTGCGGTGCTGGTACTTGCCTGGTGCTGCATTAACCCCCCAGCTCTGCTGGGGAGAGCAGAGGGACCCCTGAGCAGTGCGGCTAACTGCTGTGAACAGGGAAAAGCAGGAGGCCGCGGTGATGCCGGGTACCACTGGGCTGCCGCGGGCCGGGGCACGGGGCTTGGGGCTGTGAGAGGGCGAGGAGTTAATCCCCGTGGCCGCAAATCTCCCAAAAGCCCTGCCTGAGAGCTGCTCGGGGAGCACCCTGCGGCAGGAAAAGCTAGGGACGGGCTGGCCCCCCTGCCCAACTCTGCGGGGCCCCGCAGCCGGAGCCTGGGCTGTGCCGCAGCCCCACATGGCACTGCTGGAGGATGCTCCCACCAGTGCCGGGGCCGCGCTCGGCTCTCGCGCTGGATGCTGATTCACGCTGCTGCATTAGCAAAGCCCGCAGCCGCCGCGCATGCTGTCGACTCGGGAGCAGTTATCCGGCAGGGCAGAGCGCTGCCTCCCTCTGCCCAGGTCCTCCCCTGGCAAATCTGTCCCAGAGGGGAGCAGCAGGACCCCCAGATCCCAGTCGCTTTATCCCGGGGATGCTGGCACCCCCCTGGCGTGGGGCACCATGCCTGCCGGGGCTGGGGGCTCACCGTGGCTGCACATCGCCGGATTACTCTGCTCCAGCTCTCTGGGCTCTTCAGTTTGGGGATCAGGGAGTGGCGAATCCTTGGCAGAGGAGAGGCCTGGGCTGGCCGTTGTGGGCTTTGGGCATTAGGCAGGAGGTAGCCTGGAAAAACAGCCCGGGGGTGGCAAATGCAAAAGGCTGCATCGGGGTGAGCTGGCCGTGCTCCCTCCTCCTCTCCTGCCTCTTGTCCTGCTCCTCGTGCTCCCCTGGACTGTGGCCGAGCAGCACTTAGCGTTTCAAATCGCCCATCGATTATCCGCTGGCCGGTCCCATCACTCGTGTTGCTCTGGGCTGGAGCTGCCAAAATCTGGAACAAATACCGGCATCGTGAATGGGCTTGGGGATGGAGGGGGGAGCACCCGGTGCCCCCAGCCCAGCCGTCCCCGGCAGCCCGTGAGCGCAGTGGGGCATCACAGCGGTGCCATGGGACGCTCGGTGGGATGGACATGCTGAGCGGATGCTTTCCGTGGCTCCCCTCCACTGCAGCAGTTCACATCCCTGCGTGTGCCCGAGGTGCTGCCTCCTCGAGCAGCTCCCACCGGTTGTTACGAACCTCTGGATCTGGCCTATTTATTTACAGGAAAACAGGCTCTGTGTTTCCCGAGGGATTAGCTGCTGCTGCCACATCATGCAGGGATCTGTGCTTCCTTACCTGATTTCACTGGTGAACGGGTGATTCTGACTTAATTAAGGAAAAGCAGGTGCCCAGCCCGCTGCGGGGACAGCCGCCTGCCCGGGCAGAAACTCGGCGAGGTCTGGGGCTGGGTGTCAGAGCCCTCGTCCCATCTCTGCCCCGAGTAATGCCACTACTGCAGGCGCCCTGCATCCCTGCGGCAGACCTGCCTTCCCCGGTGGGGACGGGGACGGGGACCTGGGGTCATGGGAAAGCTTGTCCCGAGCCTGGAGACTGGTGGGAAAGGGGCTTTAGGCCAAGGGGATGGAGCAAGAGCGTGTTGTAGGAAACTGCCCACTGGGAAGGAAGATGAACAGCACAAGCGTGGGCCTTACAAATGGAGAAAGCCCTCATCCTGCACCCGCAGCGTGCCCTGCCGGGGCAGGACCCTGGGCATGCAGCATCCCGGTGTTCCCCCTGTTCCCCCCTGTGGGGGGCAGGCAGGGAGCGGACCCCAGATGTGCAGGGGATGCAGTCCACATCTGTCCCCATACAGCTGGCCCCAGGGTCTAAACTGATGCCCCGGTGCAGGGGCTCACCCCTGCACCGGCACTTTGCACGGCTCCCATCTCACCGGGGCCGTTTCCCTGCCTTCACCTCCTCTCTCTGTTGCATCTAACCCGCAGTTCCCCCGCGCCCAGGACCCGCAGCACCGCGGCAATGTCTCTGCCGGGGAGCAGACGCTCGTCTACCGGATCGCGAAGGTGAATATGCTTCGGCCCCTGGGCCCGGGCACCGGTGCCCGCCCGGCACTTCTCCCAGCTGGCAGCAGGGAGGGAACGATCCCCACCTACGCCACGAGCTGCCACTTTGCAGCACAAACCCCCAGCCCGGCTTTCAGGGCGTTGCATGTCGCTGCCCACCGCACAGCACTTCCCCGTCCGTGCATGCAGCCCCCTGAGCGCTGCACCCCCTGTCCCTCTCTGGCCATCTCTGCCGCAGCCGGGACCAACCCCTCTGTCCGTCCAGGCAAAGGCAGGCAGTGGTGGAGGGCCCCGGCCCCGGGCGGCGGCACAAGGGCGCTGGGGTTGGGGCGG